TTATATTGTATTGTATTGTATTGTATTGTATTGTATTGTATTGTATTGTATTGCAGAAATCACATTCTGAGTTTCGGAGAGTTGTATTATTTTATTTTGGAGTTAAAATATTAGATGTAACAAATAAACTGCATAGGTTACAGTAGGTTTATAGTTTAAACCGTTAAAAAATGTTAATAGCAATTTTTCAAAGGTGTGAGAATTATATTTTTGTCAATCTAATCCTAGATTCTGCATACTCATATTCTTCATATTCAAAATTCAGAAAACAAGTCTTATGTATAATAATATAATATAATATTTCTTGCATTTAAAATGATCTTGTTTGCAGGTTATTTAGGTATTTCTACTAAAGTAAAAAAAAAAGACAAAAATGTAATAAAGAAAATATTTTTAGCAAAGCAACATTTACAATCTTTATTCTTTGCTATATTTCTAGTTTCTTGTATACCATTAAATGTATTAGTATCACATGAGTGGATGGCAGTATGCATAATGAGATTAAATACAGATGAAGTCATGCATAATAAATCACATTGTAAACTCCATATATGGTTATTTTGGCAAAGGAATTTCACTTGTGCCTGTATGTTTATAAATCTGCTAAGCGGGATTCATAAAGTGAACTTTGTTCAGGTTAGAGTGCAAAAATATCTAACCTAGTTGTTTGCAAAATCTTCCTTTTGTGCATAAACATACTTTTAGGATGGCCGGTTTTATACTTGAGTACTTACTGTGAGTGTTTGTATATTCATGGACTCCCATTACTGTCTACCAGCTGAGTGCATGTTTACATCACATTACTTTGATCCAGGTGCATTTAAGCTTCTGTTGATCCAGATGCATTTGAGATTTATAAATTGAGTTATAGATCCACACGTTTAGACATCAGAATCTAATTGGCTGAGTTGGATCTCATTCTCCTATAAAGCATCAGCTCAGTAGGACTGTAGAGATTCCCGCCCCTTTGAGCAATGTTCATAGGCTGTGCAGTGTGTCAGTCAGTTTCACAAGCATCTGTTTCCACTCAGCCTGCTTCTGGAGGCCAGGACGTGGGATGTTTGTCTCTTGAGCAGCCAAACATTTACCAAATTTGACATCCAAGCTGCTTTCAGAACTCTGCACAGAGTTTGTACTTTGTTTACATTCTGTTGTAAAGAATATGCTAAATAAAAAGTAGATTATTTGGTTGTATGTTCTTCTCCATTATTCATAAATAAACTTTTTTTGTTTGATTTGGTAGGGCTTGCAAGGAGAACTAGGTCCTAAAGGAGACCCCGGCCAATATGGACCCAAAGGAGAAAGAGTAAGGGATTTAAAATTTAGATTATGTTAGAAATCATGATCAGACAGCAACAAGAGCGCTCAGTCTCTTAAGCTCGCCAAGGCTGCATTTATGTGATCAAGACATCAATGTGTGATATTACTTTTTTATAAGTCATTTCTTGCAGTGAAACATCTTTAAACTTAGAAACATATCTTCTGGGTTTGATTGTTGCTTTCAGGGAGATCCTGGCAAAGACGGTGAGCCAGGAAGATCTGGAAACTATGGGTCTTCAGGGCCGAAGGTACAGAGGAAGATTTTGATCTTGTATTAAACACAGTTTTACATTATGACTTTTACATATGCCTTTGACATAGGTTAGTTATGATTCACTAATGCTGTTGTTTGGCTTTATGAGCTTTTACAGTATTATAACTAGTTTTAATGGACACTGGCTCATCTGCAATCTCATTGTTTGTTGTTTCAGGGAGACAGGGGTCCTCGTGGAGCCAATGGCGATAAAGGCGAGCGAGGAGATGACGTAAGTGTTTTCACTCTTTTTTCACATTTTCAGACTTGGATTCTAAACATTCGGTGTAGTAATGTGTGACAGACCTGCTTTTAGTGTTATCTAACAGTTTCTTCCATTTCCTGTTCTTTTTTAGGGACTACAAGGACCAGATGGCACAAGAGGAGACGGAGTAATCAAGCATTTATATTTACTTCTGTCTTAGTGTGAATGGTTGTGTTTTAAGCTGTTTGCAAATGTGGGTCTTTTTACATGTGAGGGTCAAAATATGCAGGTGATCTGATGTGTTTTTCTGTCAGGGCACATCTGGTGAGAAAGGTGAACAAGGTTCCCGTGGTAACAGAGGGCCCAGAGGCGAACCTGTAAGTATATGTCACATTTAGAAAATATCCCACAATACATCCCTTCCAAATACAATGGTAAAACCCTGCTAATAATTTAAAGTCAATTTGAAATGACATTCGCAAGCCAATAATAATAACAGTAATTTTGTGGACCTGAGCATCATATACAGTTCAACAGATGCATTTTAATACTTAAAAGCATACAAATGTTCAGAAATATCTTACACTCTGTGTAGTAAAAAATGACATTATTTTAGGCTGTAGGGTTGAATGAAACTCATTAGGCTGTAAATTCCTTCAAAATTAGAACACAAAAAGTCAAAATTATGACATGCTATGTTATAATTATGTTATTAAAATGTGAAATTATGAGATACAAAGTAATAATTATGACATTAAACTTTTTATGTGATAAAACTGACTTTTTGTCATAGTTATGAGTTTTATGTCAAAATTTCTACTTTCTATGTAATTTTTTAGGCTATAAATTCCTCCATAATTATGACATTAAAGGACAAAAATGATGAGAAACTAACAATGGCATAATTTGAAATTATGACATAATAGATTTGAACCAAGACATAAATTGTAATTATGGAATAAAAAGTCTAAATTATGACATACTACATTATAACTATGACAAAATTCAAAATTATGAGATAAAAAGTCATAAAATATGACAATAGATTATAACTATGACATAAATTGTAATTATGACTTAAAAAATTTAAATTATGACACTGTAGGTTATAACAATTACATAAGTTGTAAATTATGACATACTACATTATAACTATGACAAAAGTTAAAATTATGAGATAAAAAGTCATAAAATATGACATAATAGATTATAACTATGACATAAATTGTAATTATGAGATAAAAAGTTATAATTATGGAATCAAACGTAAAATTATGACACTACATTATAACTATGACAAAATTCAAAATTATGTTATAAAAAGTCATAATTATGACATACTAGGTTATAACTATGACATCAAAAAAGTTGAAATTCTGAGATAAATATAATTATGACAAGAAATGTTTCTATGTCAATTTAACACGATTATAATTTTTTATTTTTATTAATAATAACAATATTTTTATGTGGATTTCCAACTGAAAGAGGCAAGGTTGTAATATTTTCCAAACATTTTTCTGCATTTTTCCCCCATTAAAATAACACACATGAATTGCTCACAAGAAAGTACATTTCTGTTTGATTTCACATTGACTTAAAAGATTAAGTGGTTCTAATTACTGACATATAATACATGCGCAGATGTACATAATGTTGGTTTCAAACAAATTCATTAGTTATTAATTGTTCATGTTCTGTTCGGTAAATAGTTTGACAACTTAAGCCTGTGGTGTTTATGCACCCAAGAAGAAAATAATGACATGTGACATGAATGTGTACTTCTAACTCTGACAGGGTGAACCTGGGCCCCGGGGTGAACAAGGACGTGAGGGGTCAGCAGGACCAAACGGAGATCCGGTGAGTGAGTGACGAAAACCATCATGAGCGGTATACAACAGATTTTGAGGGTTTGACTTGCTTGAACTGAGACACTGAAAGAGTTCAATTCTTTATCACCTTTATACATTTATACACTTCCTTAAATGTTAATCCAGAATTATACGGTGCAGAATTGTGTAGTGTGTAAGGCATACGAGCTTGAACAAGGATGAAAGCCTATGACCTCAGGACACAGGCATTTTGATTGACCCTCTGAAATCTCTGAGATCATTGGACCTCTGGGCTGTGTTGGGAGGTAACTTAGGAACAAAGAAATACGACCAGTGTTTCTGCAATTTGTGATGGTTTGGGCAGTGGGAGGAGAAAGAACGAAAGCTATAGTTCCCAAGGTCAGATGGACTCCAGATGGACGATGTCAGACCGGCTGGGTGAGCAGCAGATACAGTTCAACACATGTATTTTAATACCTAAAATCATACAAATGTTCTTCCCTAACAGGAATATCTTACCCTCCGTGTAGTAAAAGATGAAGTCATTTGAGTGTCCCAAACTAATTTAGGCTGTTAATTCTTCCACCCAGCCCTAATCACATAAAAACATAGATCATTTCAAATAGAAAAGCACTGGTGATTGTTTTATGGGTCCTCTTATGAAAAGAAAAAAAGGAAGACATGTAAATATTCATAGTAAGTATAACCAGTAAAATAATGTACAGTCATTATTATAAATGACACCCCGATCACAAGGTGATCTGGACCACTTCCACCATACATACTGGTAAATCATATTTATGAGATAAAAAGTCAAAATAATGAGATTAAAAATTTAAATTATGAGATAAAAGTCATAAAAATTTTATTTTTAATGTCATGTCAAAATTTTGACTGGTAAACTTTTCAACACATGATTAGGACTTTTTATGTCATAATTTAAACATTTCATGATATTTGCTATTGATCTCATAATTATGATTTACTCAAGCATATTTTTTTTCTTACATGGTGGAAATGGGCTCTCATAGACACTGACAGAAATCAGAGTCTTGTGTTACTCTAAAAGGGTTTATTTTGCAGTAATGACTGTCTGACTGTTAATTATCCAACTTACCATACAGCTTCTTAAAAAATAAATAATAAAATAAATACATGTGAAATTAAATTCATTTGAGAATTTATTTTAATAAAATTTTTATTTTGTGAAAATTCCCCTAAAAATCTTTACCTAAAATCTTGTGTACTTCTTTAAAAAAAACACTTTTGGTGGTCTTAGCTTGGCCAGTCTGGGAAACCAGTTGAGATGAGCAAACCAGCTTTGAGTTTTTTTTTTTTTTTTTTTTACACAGGGACCACGTGAGTAAATTGTGTTTATCTCAAGACAAAAATTCTTGTCTCAAACAAACATTTTGGCAGTTTTGAGGCATTGAGTAATATTCATTAGAATGGTTCAACTTTAGGAAGGACATTAAGAGTGATTACACATGCCAGACCCTGACTCAAGATTCCCTGCTGAAACAAGCTAATCTGCTGAGATTTGGACCTAGGAGTCTTGAGGCTTACAACATCACCACCAGCTGCACCACAGAACTCCATGCATGCTAGTTCTGTCAGCACTTGACTTCTCTCTACAACTCTTGTAAACTGCCAGGCCAACTGCGAACAGACCAACACATTTCCGTTGCCTCTCAGGACTCCAAATTTCCTGTGCAGCTTACTTGAGAGTGTTCGGAGCATATGCGTGCCAGAATGGTTCCTCAGTTTCATGGTTTTCTCAAAAACAGCTGCTCTTTAGGCTCTCACATAATCTTCGTTAGTGACTAGCAAGGACTGCCGTTATCCCAGAAATCCTCAGTTTTGCGCTTGAAGTTACCAGCAAATCAGGAGTTTTACTGTTCGCTATGAGTAACGCTAGTTTTTTATTGGTTTTGTCCTGGCAGAGATATTTTCCAGTGGAGTTGAGTGGGTGGGATGGGAAAGAACCGAGTGTTCAAATACATGGAAATCTGGATGCGTTTCTGAACTCATGAGCCACTGCTTTCTCAAAGCCTGTTTTTTTACTGATTTAATTTGCCCGTGTGTCAGATTCCCCTCTAGGAAGTGTAATGCTGCAGTAAATAAAAAATGTATATATAACAAAATATTTTTTTACTGAGTCATTTTCCAAAAGAATATTTTTAGTTGATGACTCAGATGTCTAAGGCCAGCAAAAAGCTAAATGTTTTAACATATGATACGATAACTGTATGATTCCAATATGTGGTCATGTTGTCATGAATGGCTCTCTGTCTTCAGTCTCCATGCCCTTAACTCTGGAGTGACTTTTATTCTCCAAACAAAATAGTTACTACAGATTTTTAATAAAATAAGGTTGCATTAAAATAAAAAAATTTGATACACTATATATACAGTGCTGTTCAAATGTTTGGGATCAGTAAGATTTTTTATGTTTTTTTTAAAGAAGTTTCTTATGCTCATCAAGGCTGCATTTATTTGATAAAAAATACTGGAAAAAACTGTAATTTTGTGAATTATTATTGCAATTTAAAATAACAATTTTCTGTTTTAATATACTTTAAAATATAATTTATTCCTGTGAAACAAAGCTGAATTTTCAGCATCATTACTCCAGTCTTCAGTGTCACATTATCCTTCAGAAATCATTCTAATATGCTGATTTATAATCAATGTTGGAAACAGTTGAGCTGCTTAATATTTTTTGGGATTTTTGATACACTATATATACAGTGCTGTTCAAATGTTTGGGATCAGTAAGATTTTTTATGTTTTTTTAAAGAAGTTTCTTATGCTCATCAAGGCTGCATTTATTTGATAAAAAATACTGGAAAAAACTGTAATTTTGTGAATTATTATTGCAATTTAAAATAACAATTTTCTGTTTTAATATACTTTAAAATATAATTTATTCCTGTGAAACAAAGCTGAATTTTCAGCATCATTACTCCAGTCTTCAGTGTCACATTATCCTTCAGAAATCATTCTAATATGCTGATTTATAATCAATGTTGGAAACAGTTGAGCTGCTTAATATTTTTTGGGACCTGTGATACTTTTTCAGGATACTTTGATAAAAAAAAAAGTTAAAAAGAACAGTGTTTATTCAAAATAGAACATTTGTGTTACAATATGCACTACTATTCAAAAGTTTGATTAATTAAGAAATTAATACTTTTATTCAGCAAGGATGTGTTAATTTGATAAAAAAAAGTGATAGTAGAGACGTATATTAATAGAAAAGATTTTGAATAAATGCTGTTCTTTTTAAACTTTTTATTCATCAAAAAATCAAAGAAAAAAGTATCACAGGTTCCAAAAAAAATTAAGCAGTACAACAGTTTCAACACTGATAAAAAAAATCAGCATATTAGAATGATTTCTGAAGGATCATGTGACACTGAAGACTGGAGTAATGACTGATGAACATTCAGTGCTGTGTCAGAAATAAATTATATTTTATAGAATATAAAAATAGGAAACAAATATTAGCAATTGCCATAATAATTCACAATATTACTGTTTCTTCTGTATTTTTGGTAAAAATAATAAAATAAATACAGCCTTGATGAGCATAAGAGACTCAATTAAAAAACATTACAAATCTTTTGAACGGCAGTGTATAAATTATATTTTTTATTATATCTTGACCAAGCAGGGAGAAGATCTTAAACCAGCTAAGAAAACTAGTTTAGGTTGGTTTAAGAGCGTTTTTCAACCCAAACAGAGGGATATTAATATATTCGAATATCTTCAGGAATATAATTTTCTCCCATTTCCAACAGGGTGAGCTAGGAAGGGCGGGGTCCCCAGGTTACCGTGGTGATGAAGGTGCTACTGGGCCAGAGGTGGGTGATGTTAACTGGTCTTGATTACCTTTCAACCTGACCTCCTGCTGCATCTATGACTGACCTACATTTCCCATGTTGCATGTCTGTGCTTTAGGGAGCTAAAGGGCCCAGAGGAATCAAAGGGGCCCCAGGAGACAGAGGCCTGATGGGAGAGAGGGTGAGTTGAGCCTGTTGATCTTTATAACTGGTTTTAACTAACCAAAGGCAGTTGTCCATTGTTTTTTTTGTTTTTTTTTACCTTCTTAGGGTGAAGATGGACCACCAGGAAATGGAACAGTGGGCTGCCATGGTTTTCAGGTAGAATACCTCTGTTTATTAAACCTCTTGCCTATAAAGTCCATGTGAACAGGAAGTTGCTGCCAACTTTATTTCAGTATGGTGACGAATTTCCAACTGAAACTGAATACTGAGTAGAGGGCGGGTTTTTATTTTTGCTCTCCTCCTCTCATCTCTCACTCGCAACAAACGAACTGTTGGAGGGGTGTGGTTAAGCATATTCTTCCAAAGCCATGGCCCAAGCCTCAAACTGACGTCATTAGAGAAAGCATGCCATTCCAGAGCTGAAGCAAACGATTCGTTTTGATTAAAGATTGCCAAGACTAATGAATTAATTAGATTAATTTTGCATGGATTAATTGTTCAATTTAAGGGTGTTTTCTCCCTTGGTTCGGTTCGTTTAGGCATATGTGAACACGGCAATCGCGCTCGGATCCGCACCAAAACTATCGCTCCGAGACCGCCTGAACGAGGTGGTCTCGGCCCGATTGCAAACGAACTCTGGAGCGGTTTGCTATAAGTGTGAAAGCAATCCGACCCAATGGACCAACGAACCAGGCTGTATCACAATGTATGATGGGTATATTACGTAAAGTTGCATGAAGCAGTGATTGTATTGCTAATGGCTCCCAAAATGAACCGTGGGCTAACTTGGAGCAGGGAAGAAGTGAAATGTTTAATTGAAATTTGGTCAGACAAACACATTGCCGAACAGCTCTCCAAAACACACAAAAACACAGAAATGTATAAAGTGTTTTGCGAGCGCTTAAAACACATGGGCTTTAATTGGTTGATTGAACAGTGCCGCGTGAAGGCAAAGAAACTCCGTCAACAATATATTATATATATCCTGATGGATGACAACTTTGAGCAGAATCCCGGAAAATAAACAGATGCACTCTGACCAATTAAAGGAGAGTTTACTTGCACGTGACTTGTATTAACAAAGTTTGGTCCGTTTGGAAATATTGCCTTGTGAATGCGAACCTAACCAAGATGAAATCGCAACATTGTAGTGATTTAACCCCCGGTTTCGGAACAAAGCTGTCGATCTACAGGTGTGAAAACACCCTAAGGCTAGCAATGAGCGCTAACAAAATAAATATTGTAAATTTTGATTTCATGCGGACATTAAACTCATATCCAGTGGAGTATCTGTATTGTTTATGTGCATGCTTTGTGTCGTTTTAGGGTTATCCTGGGCCCAGGGGAGATCAAGGAGCACCTGTAAGTATCCTGAACCCTACAGAATATCTGTTTTTAACGCAACCAAATAGTGTTCCAAAAGTAAAAATCCCATTAATTTCTTCCACTGAGAAACTGATTTTGATTGATAATGAATAACACATTTAATTTGTTATGTAATAATACATGCTCATTTCATTTAAAAAAATAAATATTCCCAGTAAAGAACCAAATTATTCTGCAGGGAGATCCATTAATCAGAGTTGCCGTTGCAGAAAAACCTCCCACTCTCATAAATCATTGAGAATGATGCAATCCAATCTCCTTACACTATCAAACAGTTACATATTTGCATGTTTGAATATTTTGCAAGAAACTTTAAATACATAATACTATAAACTTATAATCAGTGTCTTAATTAGTTAAGTATATATATATATATATATATACACACACACACACACACACACACACACACACACATTTGTCTTAGAGATGATTTTTTAAACATCCCTATGGAAAAAAAATAATTGGAAAAATCCTCCACAACTGAGCTTATAATTCACATCTATGGTTATCATGAAATTCAAAATTATTTATTTACAGATTAAAAGAAATCCTCCATATGGAAGATGATGTTAATATTGAGAATGATTCGTATGATTTATTAGTGGTTTGTATTAGCATGCCTAACTGTTGATTCACAATGTCTTGATTCATCAGGGGTTAGTGCATGTGTGTCTCACAGCAGGGACTGTGTATCACAATAGAAACACAACAGCTCATCCCTAGCAGATGTAAATCGTCTAGACTGAGGCCGAGTCCAGACGTTAAGAGGAGACAGTTGAGCTAACACAGATGAGCTAACACAGCATCTAATCTCCCTTCTTCTCTCTTGCACTTTCTTGAACTTCTCACTTTCAAGGGTGGAAAAGGAACCCCTGGACCCAAGGGAGATGATGGAGAGCCAGGTGACCCTGGATCAGATGTGAGTCCATATAGATGCATTTGTGCTTATCACTATGTATCACTTGTCTTTTCTTTCTTTTCTCTTCTTTAGCCTCTTTACCATTTTTCCCTGTCTCAGAGAAGTATAAGTTTTTCATAGCGTACATATCACTTTTCTCCGGTTTTCCTTCCATTTTGACCTGTTTTTCATGAAATTCTTCACTTCTGAAGGAATGTTCTGGGTTCCACACAAGTTAAACACTGTCCAAAGCACTATCATCAGTGGTTTAAATCAGAAATATGCAACTCTCTTGTTAAAACAGTTTTTCTGCAATAAAAAAGAATAAAGTGAGCAATATTGGGCAGGTCATGTGATTTCAGCATGGATGCTCCATGATGATGTGACCTGCTGCATCTTAAATACAATTGCTTTTTTAGGCTACTCTTCATCTTATGTGATTGTACATAATTTTAAACACATTTTTAAAACGGAACTATTTATTTCTGCATTTAAAAAAGGAAAAAAAATTACTTGTATTATTAACGCTGAATGCTCCTTTAATATGTGTTTGTTAAAGGGGTCATATGATGCTATTTTAAAGATCATTATTTTGTGTATTTGGTGTAACAGAATATGTTGACATGCTTTAATGTTCAAAAAACACATTATTTTTCAAATACTGTACATATTGTAGGTCTTCTATGCCCCGCCTCTCTCAAATGCTTAGTTTTCAACAAAACCCCCTCCTTTGACAAGCGCAGTCTGCTCTGATTGGCCAGCTGACCCAGTGCGCGAGTCCCCATGAGTCTGTCCGTAGTCAGGTTTAAGTCCGTACAGTCGCTGATTCTGAGTCTTTTTTTTAGTATTTGCAACTTTACAGATCTTCTTTATGCACCAAGAGCTTGTAACATTCCAAAGAGTAAGGAAAACTTGAAATCACATCATATGACCCCTTTAAAGTGAAAGTTCACCAAAAATGAAAATCCTGTTATCATTTACTCACCTTCTTGTCATTCCAAACCCATAAGTCTTTGGTTAATCTTCAAAACACTAATTAATATATTTTTAATGAAACCTTTAAGCGTTAGCTTCCATGTGGAGGGACAGAAATTTCATTAAAAGATTCCTAATTCATGTTTCAAAGATAAGCCAAAGAATTATAGGTTTGGAATGATGTGATGGCATAATCACATGTGTTACACACTGTACATGAATGCCATAAATCATACAGCTTGTGAAGGGTGTGCTATTATACTTTTATCTATTATAAGTAGACGTAATTTTTTTGCTTGACAGATAATAAAACACATGAGGAAAAAGGCCATAGACTTGCACCTGAATTGTGCTTGAGCCTTACAGCTATGTTTTTTTGTTTGTTTTTGTTCTCTGATCCCACACATTTACAAACATCTGAAAGATGCAATTATTCTCTGCCCTGTCTATATTTACAAGTGGAAATAATCAGATTTCATTCCAAAATAAACTTCTCCATCCGGCTTGTCAGAAAACCACTAGTAGCCTGGAAGCAAAGAGTTTGATCCCGTGCATTCATCATTCAGACTTATTCCCATCAGGAGATGGAAGTCAGCGGGGACTTGACAGGGAACCGACAGCAGATATGATGGATAATATTGTTGTTTATGTTGTCTAGCTGTGCGCTTCTGCAGTGCAAATGTTTGAGGAAACACGTTCTGTTTGCCTCTTTAAGAAGAATCGCTTTATGTATTCCCCAATTGTAAGTCGCTCTGGATAAAAGCGTTTTACAAAATGACTAAATGTATTAGTGGGCTTGCTACATAGTTTTTGACTCAGCTCCTAAGTTTAACATTTTGACACTCCACATGTGTTACACACTGTACATGAATGCCATAAATCATACAGCTTGTGAAGGGTGTGCTATTATACTTTTATCTATTATAAGTAGACGTAATTTTTTTGCTTGACAGATAATAAAACACATGAGGAAAAAGGCCATAGACTTGCACCTGAATTGTGCTTGAGCCTTACAGCTATGTTTTTTTGTTTGTTTTTGTTCTCTGATCCCACACATTTACAAACATCTGAAAGATGCAATTATTCTCTGCCCTGTCTATATTTACAAGTGGAAATAATCAGATTTCATTCCAAAATAAACTTCTCCATCCGGCTTGTCAGAAAACCACTAGTAGCCTGGAAGCAAAGAGTTTGATCCCGTGCATTCATCATTCAGACTTATTCCCATCAGGAGATGGAAGTCAGCGGGGACTTGACAGGGAACCGACAGCAGATATGATGGATAATATTGTTGTTTATGTTGTCTAGCTGTGCGCTTCTGCAGTGCAAATGTTTGAGGAAACACGTTCAGTTCTTTGATCATTCTGGCCATTTTGCACATCTGCAGGATTAAGATAGCAGCATTTTCCTCTTAGACAACATTTTAGCGCTCAGTTTTTATTTGATCTAATCAGCGGGTAGATCCATAGCTGTTTGTTTTATAATCCCAAACTTGGATCCTAATGGAATAAATTGTACAACAGGACAAAAGCATGGACTGCAGACTTTTTAATGTCACACAATACTGTAGACTGTATTTCATAATGTCACTTCCTTAATCCTTACATCTGGAACATAAGAATTGTAGCATTGGGCAGTATGACCCCATACTGTATATTGAATTTCTAACTAAAAAATAATGATATCATGATATATACTGTGCTATACAATGACCTTGAGTGGCGAGATGAATGTCAGCTGTAAACATATCACACATGCTTATATCAAAGCTCTGAGATCATGTTTAATTTTTACATCAAAACAATCTGAGTCGCTTCATTGTGGTTGAACAAGCCGACGCTAAATGGCAACAACTACACATGCTCATCATCTGGAGTCGATTTTTGGTGATCTAACGCCCAGACTGCTTCACTATTCATCACTGTGTTTGTCTTAGTCCATGCAAAACCAAAAACTTCAAGGAAGTGGTGGAGACGTGCATATGCGGAAAGATTGATTTACAGCTGTTGGTTTTTATGGTCCTTTCTTTAGAAATTATGTTCTGATTGTAAAATTACTGTTCTATCACACCAAAAGAGGAACAGAAAGAGAGAGAGGGTTTTTTGTTTGTTTGTTGAGTATAACACACACCTGAATGTTTGGGCTCCAGAAAGGCCTTTATTAATCATACGGGATGTTTACATAAACACATTTTGCAGCAGATGTGTGTAAACTGTTTACACATAGTGAACTTTCTGTTAAAGACATACAGTATACCCTTTCTGCAGACTTACGATATTGGCTGTTTGCTAAGGCAAGCATCACTGTTAGTATTTCTTATATTTAGTGATTTGAATGAAGTAAACATGCTGTTAGACTGGTTTGGACTAAGCATTTGGCTCATCCAAAGGAAAAAATAAGTTCTTTTGAACTTTTTATTCATCAAACAAATCTTGAAAACATGTATCATTGTTTCCACAAAAATTATAAGTAGCAACTGTTTTCAATAATAATAATGATAATGATAATAATAGTAATGATAAATATTTCTTGGTCACCAAATCAGCATATTAGAATGATTTCTGAAAGACCGTGTGATACTGAAGACTGGAGTAATGGCTGCTGAAAATTCAGATTTGCCATCACAGCAAAAAAAAAAGTTTTTTATAAAATGTATTAATTTTATTGAATTTATTAATTAAATTAACATTTATTTTAAATTGTAATAATTTTTCATAATATTACTGTTGTTTTGTTTTTTATTATTAGTGGTCAACTGATAGTGGATTTTACCGATACCTATTGCTAGGTTGGACCACACTGGCCGATAACCGATTAATTAAAATTTGTTTTTAAAATAGGTACTGAATGAAAGCTAAAATAGTTAACTTTATTACAAAAAAAACAGTACTGAATCACACATTTAAAATAAAATAAAATAAAATGTTAGTATTAAATATTAATTATACATTGATCAATTTTAGTTCATAGTTCATTAACTAACAGATGCGTTCAATTCAAGCAGCGGTCCAAAACTGTTTATTTAATCCCCAAACAGGCAAAAGTTCACTTCAAGAATGAACAATGTGGCATTGATGATATTGTTTTTAAAATAGGTACTGAATGAAAGCTAAAATAGTTAACTTTATTACAAAAAAAACAGTACTGAATCACACATTTAAAATAAAATAAAATGTTAGTATTAAATATTAATTATACATTGATCAATTTTAGTTCATAGTTCATTAACTAACAGATGCGTTCAATTCAAGCAGCGGTCCAAAACTGTTTATTTAATCCCCAAACAGGCAAAAGTTCACTTCAAGAATGAACAATGTGGCATTGATGATTTTGAAGTTTGGTGTTTGGCAAAGCAAAGCAAAACCGAAAGAGAAAGTGTGATCTATATTATAGCACAATACACAATCTCCAAGCCTAGGGTGAAGTCATTATGCACATTAACAGTGATGTGAGACAAATGTAATGTAATTTAATGGAAAGCTATGTGAGTGGCGTGCAAGGATATCTGTCGGTTGCATTTGCTTTCTCACGCCACTAGCTTTAAATATGCAACTTCTCTGGATTAAAGATGGTAACAATAAACTAATGGAAATAGATGTTAACAATTGTGGCATTAAACATTTGAGGCAGATTTGCGTGTTTTGTTCACATCGTTTTAACTGCTCAATGTTCTACTAATGTTAGCGTCCTCTCAGCCTTAACGGCAAACACACTGTTGTTTTTCTCTACTAATGCAGCATCTAGTCAACAATTTAATTACTTTTATAATGATATGAAAACATGTACTGTAGTGTACGGTATACGTACGGTTTCGTTGTCGATCTTCCGCATTTGAATTGTCCCGCTCTGTGCAGTGCGCAGCCTCACGTGTCAAAACAAACAGCAGAGGCATCAGTGATTCTCCTCTAGAAGCTGCTCTTGTTCTGTATAATGACAGCGGACCCTCCTCAGCTGCTCCAGCAACTGACGCAACCTGGAAAAACTGCCAATATGGATTTTTGGCAAACACTGATAGTTTCAGCAATCGATAATTGGTCCTGATTAAT